TTAGAATGCATTTAACTTTCATTTGGTTCAAAAAGCTTTGTTTGAATGTGTTTGACTTTCATTTGATTCAATTAGCTTTGTTGAATGTATTTGACTTTCGTATCATTCGAAAAACTTTGGTTGAATGTGTTTGAATTCATTTGATTCAATTAGCCTTGTAGATTGCATTTCACTTTCATTTGATTCAATTAGCTTTGTTGAAAGCATTTGACTTTCATTTGATTCAAAAAGCTATGTTTGAATGTGTTTGACTTTCATTTGATTCAATTAGCTTTGTAGAATGTGTTTGACTTTCATCTGATTCAATTAACTTCGTAGAATGCATTAGACTTTCGTTTGATTCAAAAAGCTATGTTTGAATGTGTTTGACTTTCATTTGATTCAAATAGCTTTTTAGAATGCATTTGAATTTCATTTGATTCAATTAGCTTTGTTTAATGCATTTTACTTTCATTTGATTCAAAAAGCTTTGTTTGAATATGTTTGACTTTCATTTTATTCAGTTAGCTTTGTTTGATCGTGTTTAACTTTATTTTGATTCAATTCGCTTTGTAGAATGCATTTGACTTTCATTTGATTCAATTAGCTTTGTTGAATGTATTTGACTTTCACTTGAATCAAAAAACTTTGATTGAATGTGTTTGACTTTCATTTGATTCACTTAGCTTTGTAGAATGCATTTGACTTTTATTTTATTCAATTAGCTTTGTAGAATGCATTTAACTTTCATTTGTATCAAAAAGCTTTGTTTGAATGTGTTTGACTTTCATCTGATTCAATTAGCTTCGTAGAATACATTAGACTTTTATTTGATTCAATTAGCTTTGTTTGAATGAGTTTGACTTTCATTTGATTCAGTTAGCTTTGTTTGATCGTGTTTAACTTTCTTTTGATTCAATTCGCTTTGTAGAATGCATTTGACTTTCATTTGATTCAATTAGCTTTGTTGAATGTATTTGACTTTCACTTGATTCAAAAAACTTTGATTGAATGTGTTTGACTTTCATTTGATTCACTTAGCTTTGTAGAATGCATTTGACTTTTATTTGGTTCAATTAGCTTTGTAGAATGCATTTAACTTTCATTTGTATCAAAAAGCTTCGTTTGAATGTGTTTGACTTTCATCTGATTCAATTAGCTTCGTAGAATGCATTAGACTTTCGTTTGATTTAAAAAGATATGTTTGAATGTGTTTGACTTTCATTTGATTCAATTAGCCTTTTAGAATGAATTTGAATTTCATTTGATTCAATTAGCTTTGTTGAATGCATTTTACTTTCATTTGATTCAAAAAGCTTTGTTTGAATATGTTTGACTTTCATTTTATTCAGTTAGCTTTCTTTGATCGTGTTTAACTTTCTTTTGATTCAATTAGCTTTGTAGAATGCATTTGACTTTCATTTGATTCAATTAGCTTTGTTGAATGTATTTGACTTTCACTTGATTCAAAAAACTTTGATTGAATGTGTTTGACTTTCATTTGATTCACTTAGCTTTGTAGAATGCATTTGACTTTTATTTGATTCAATTAGCTTTGTTGAATGTATTTGACTTTCACTTGATTCAAAAAACTTTGATTGAATGTGTTTGACTTTCATTTGATTCACTTAGCTTTGTAAAATGCATTTGACTTTTATTTGGTTCAATTAGCTTTGTAGAATGCATTTAACTATCATTTGTATCAAAAAGCTTCGTTTGAATGTGTTTGACTTTCATCTGATTCAATTAGCTTCGTAGAATGCATTAGCCTTTCGTTTGATTCAATTAGCTTTGTTTGAATGTGTTTGACTTTCATTTGATTCAATTTTTGTAGATTTCATTTTACTTTCATTTGATTCAATTAGCTTTTTTGAATGCATTTGACTTTCATTTGATTCAAAAAGCTTTGTTTGAATGTGTTTGACTTTCATTTGATTCAATTAGCTTTGTAGAATGCATTAGACTTTCATTTGATTCAATTAGCTTTGTTGAATGCATTTGACTTTCATGTGTATCAAAAAGCTTTGTTTGAATGTGTTTGACTTTCATCTGATTCAATTAGCTTCGTAGAATGCATTACACTTTTATTTGATTCAATTAGCTTTGTTTGAATGAGTTTGACTTTCATTTGATTCAGTTTGCTTTGTTTGATCGTGTTTAACTTTCTTTTGATTCAATTCGCTTTGTAGAATGCATTTGACTTTCATTTGATTCAATTAGCTTTGTAGAATGCATTTAATTTTCATTTGTATCAAAAAGCTTTGTTTGAATGTGTTTGACTTTCATCTGATTCAATTAGCTTCGTAGAATGCATTAGACTTTCGTTTGATTCAATTAGCTTTGTTTGAATGTGTTTGACCTTCATTTGATTCAATTTTTTGTAGATTTCATTTGACTTTCATTTGATTCAATTAGCTTTTTTGAATGCATTTGACCTTCATTTGATTCAAAAAGCTTTGTTGAATGTGTTTGACTTTCATTTGATTCAATTTTTGTATATTTCATTTGACTTTCATTTGATTCAATTAGCTTTTTTGAATGCATTTGACTTTCATTTGAGTCAAAAAGCTTTGTTTGAATGTGTTTGACTTTTATTTGGTTCTATTAGCTTTGTAGAATGCATTTAACTTTCATTTGTATCAAAAAACTTTGTTTGAATGTGTTTGACTTTCATCTGATTCAATTAGCTTCGTAGAATGCATTAGACTTTCGTTTGATTCAATTAGCTTTGTTTGAATGTGTTTGACTTTCATTTGATTCAATTTTTGTAGATTTCATTTGACTTTCATTTGATTCAATTAGCTTTTTTGAATGCATTTGACTTTCATTTGATTCAAAAAGCTTTGTTTGAATGTGTTTGACTTTCATTTGATTCAATTAGCTTTGTTTGATCGTGTTAAATTTTCTTTTGATTCAATTAGCTTTGAATAAAGCATTTAACTTTCATTTGATTCAATTAGCTTTGTTGAATGAATTTGACCCTCATTTGATTCAAAAAGCTTTGATTGAATGTGTTTCACTTTCATTTGATTCAATTACCTTTGTAGAATGCATTTGAGTTTTATTTGATTCGATTAGCTTTGTTAAAAGCATTTTACTTTCATTTGATTCAAAAAGCTTTCTTTGAATGTGTTTGACTCTCATTTGATTCAATTAGCTTTTTAGAATGCATTTAACTTTCATCTGGTTCAAAAAGCTTTGTTTGAATGTGATTGACTTTCATTTGATTCAATTAGCTTTGTAGAATGCATTTGACTTTCATTTAATTCAATTAGCTTTGTTGAATGTATTTGACTTTCATATCATTCGAAAAACTTTGGTTGAATGTGTTTGAATTCATTTGATTCAATTAGCCTTGTAGATTGCATTTGACTTTCATTTGATTCAATTAGCTTTCTTGAAAGCATTTGACTTTAATTTGATTCAAAAAGCTATGTTTGAATGGGTTTGACTTTCATTTGATTCAATTAGCTTTGTAGAATGTGTTTGACTTTCATTTGATTCAATTAGCCTTTTAGAATTGCATTTGACTTTCATTTGATTCAATTAGATTTGTTGAATGCATTTGACTTTCATTTGATTCAAAAAGCTTTGTTTGAATGTGTTTCACTTTCATTTGATTCAATTAGCTTTGTAGAATGCATTTGACTTTTATTTGATTCAATTAGCTTTGTTGAATGCATTTGACTTTCATTTGTATCAAAAAGCTTTTTCTGAATGTGTTTGACTTTCATTTGATTCAATTAGCTTTGTAGAATGCATTTGACTATTTTTTGATTTAATTAGCTTCGTTGAATGCTGACCAAAGTGGTCAAGGTTCGAATATTCCAGTCCAAGAGTTGAACGTTAGGGAATTGATTTTGTCCAAGTCTTTCTTCGATCCTACTCCTATGGATTTTGGGGTGCACGGTCCATATAATTACTCAACTGGCTGCACCATATTGAGCGTGACTAATTACCTTGATAATGGGGGAATATAGACGGATTTAAGGAGAGTTTCAAGCTGGTTTAACTTCGTAATAAAGGAGCTTTAATGAAGGCTTAATTGGGAGGTTACAAAGGCGCATTTAAAGGCTGCTTTGGAGGACGAATTTGGACAGCATGTTGGAGTCCATTTGCTGAACGTTTTCTTCCCTTGTTATAAGCTTTCTTAATTAGAGTAATAATTAGTTGTAATGGGGTTTAAGTTGGACGGTTATGAGCCACTTAATCTACCCTTATTTTCAGTTTTGTTATTTCTGATTTGTTGCTTGTTTTAGCTAAGTGTAGTGGCAATTAAATGATGTACTAAAGCTATAAATAGCATGCTAATGATCAATGAAACATATTCCAGAAATTTGCAAGAAACACACGAGTGTATGATCTAAATTTGACTTGTGCTAGTCAGGTTTGATTTTCCAAACTTGAGAGTTATCTCAATTTGAAGAGTTTGTGTTTTAGTGAGAGTTCCTAAGACTTAAACTTGTAGTTGTCGAATAGGTGAGAGTTCCCTAATCACTACTACGCCCAAACAAGTGAGTGAGTGTTCCTCATTGTTATATCCTCAAGGTTAAGGGTGAGAGTTCCCCTAATCCTTCTTAGTTACTCCACATTGCTACTTCTAATTCAACTAAACACAACACGCATTCCAGACCGTTTGTAAACAAGTTTCTCACCTTGCTTACACATCATTTGGCGCGTCAGGTAGGGGGAGAGTTTTCTTAAATTCTTCCAAAGGGGTCGAATACCTACATACCATGGGAGAAAATCAAGACTTGAGGACAGCTTTGGAAGCTCTTAATCGATCCATTGCTAGTCAAGAGAGGTTGGCCGAAACCAACGCCAATCTACAAGGGAACCTTGCTGCCTTGATGGCAAGGCTCATGAACGAGCATGATAGGAGAGATCAAGGCGAAGACCCTCCACCTAGGAGGGAAGATAGGAGTCTCAAAGTGGATGTCCCTGACTTTGACGGGACACTTGATCCAGAAAAGTACTTGGAATGGGAGAAATCCTTGGAGAGGTATTTCGATTACAAGGACATGCAAGAGGAGTTCCAAAAATACAAGATAGCCAAGGTGAAATTGAAGGGCGATGGGGATAACTGGCTACAAGGAGAGCAAAGGGGACGTACTCTTAGGGGTAAGGCGTCTATTTCTACTTGGAGCAAGTTGAAGAAAAGGATGAGGGATCGCTTTATTCCTCACAATTTCAAGCAAAGTCAATATGTGAAGTGGAGCACTTTGCAACAAAATGGAGAATCGGCTGAGGACTACATCAAAGAGTTTGACAGACTTTCTATCGTGTGTGAAATCACGGAGAATGAAGAACTCAAGATGGGACGTTTCGTGGCTGGGTTGGATCAAGAGTTGCAAGACAAACTTGAAGGTTACACCAATTTAACCTTTGCTGAAGCTTGCAAATTTGTGATCAAGTTTGATTAAAAAAGGAAGAAGAAAAAGCCGATTGTCACCCCTCAAGTGGCACGAAGACCAACCTTCCCTGTCAAGGATGGTTCTTCTTTTGTCAAAGCCAACGATCCACCTAAGAAGGAAAAGAAAGATTTCAAAATGAGTGACATTGTTTGTTACAAGTGCGGAGGAAGGGGCCATTTTAAGAAGGATTGTCCAAATTCCAGAGCTTTGACCATACAAGAGGTAAAGCTTATTGCTAATCAAACTATCAATTGGGAGGATTTCAAGGTTGAAGAAGTGGAGGACGTGAATTCTAATGAAGGGGACGAGGAGGAAGAACAATGCTTCCCCGAAGAAGAGCCCAAAACAAATCTGGTTGTGAGAAGGGCGTTGCAAGCTCGCGTTGACGAACCCTTAGCACCGCAAAGGCAACACATTTTCATCACCAAGTGCAAGATTAAAGGCGAGGTATGTGATTTAATTGTTGATGGTGGTAGTGAGGCAAACACAGTTTCCAAAACCTTGATAGCTAGACTTGGTCTTACAACGACAAATCACCCACATCCTTATAAGTTGAGTTGGTTGGACTCTAATTCTAGCACGGGAGTTAGGAAACAATGCATGGTTAGTTTTTCTATTGGGTCTTATCATGATACTCAACTGTGTGATGTTGTGTCTATGGATGCTTGTCACATTTTGCTTGGTAGACCTTGGCAAACTGATCGAAAATCTCAACATGATGGGTACCATAACACTTACACTATAACTCACCAAGGAAAACAAAAAAAATTGCACCCTTTACCACCCCCACGGTTTTCACAAAATCCTAAACAATCAAAGGAGGTGTCATTGCTTACCCTTAAGGAATTTGAGAGGGAAATTGATGGTGAGGATGAATTATACTTGTTGTACTCTAAAGAGATCCACGAAAATTTTGTGAGGCAAAATCCCAAATTAGCCCAGTTGATCAAGGATTTTGAGGATGTTTTTCCCGATGAGTTACCGAAAGAGTTACCACCTTTGAGGGGAATTGAACATCAAATTGACCTCATTCCGGGTGCTCCTTTGCCTAACAAACCTGCCTATAGGTGTAATCCCTTGGAAACTAAGGAATTGCAACGACAAATTGAGGAGTTGATGAGTATGGGGTATGTACGTGAGTCTATGAGTCCGTGTGCTGTTCCTGCTCTTTTGGTCCCTAAAAAGGATGGTACATGGCGCATGTGTATGAATAGTAGGGCTTTTAACAATATTACTATCAAGTATAGGTTTCCAATTCCAAGACTAGATGACATGCTTGATGAGCTGAGTGGCTCGAAGTGGTTTTCAAAAGTGGATTTGAGGAGTGGTTATCATCAAATTCGGATGAGGAAAGGAGATGAATGGAAGACCGCTTTCAAAACCAAGCACGGCTTTTATGAGTGGCTCGTGATGCCATTTGGACTCACCAACGCACCTAGCACTTTCATGAGGTTGATGAACGAGGTGTTGCGGCCTTTCCTTGGCAAATTCGTGGTGGTGTACCTTGATGATATCCTTATTTATAGCAAAGATGGGGATGAACATTTGATACATTTATTTAAAGTTTTTACGGTTTTGAGAGAGCAAAAATTGTATGGAAAACTTGAAAAATGTAATTTTATGCTATATGAGGTCACTTTTCTTGGTTACATTGTTTCAGGAGAAGGTGTGAAAGTTGATCCTAGCAAGATTGAGGCTATTCAATCATGGCCTAGTCCAAAGACACTCACGGAGGTCCGTTCTTTCCATGGATTAGCTTCCTTTTATAGGAGGTTCATTCGTAATTTCAGCACTCTCATGACCCCTATCACCGAGTGCACAAAGAAGGGCTCATTTGAATGGACTCCTCAAGCTCAAAAGGCATTTGAAGTGATCAAAGAAAAAATGTGCAATACACCCATCCTAGCACTTCCAGATTTTTCAAAGCCATTTGAAGTTGAGTGTGATGCAAGCGGAAAGGGGATTGGTGTCGTGTTGATTCAAGAAGGGCGTCCTATTGCCTACTTTAGTGAGAAATTGAGCCATGGCAAGCTGAATTATTCCACCTATGATAAGGAGTTCTATGCCATGGTGCGAGCTTTGAATCATTGGTCGCATTACTTGAGACCACAACCATTCATACTTCATTCTGACCATGAATCTTTGAGGTTCATCCATGGCCAAAAGAAGTTGAATTCGAGACATGCAAAGTGGGTGGAATTCTTGCAAACATTTAACTTTTCATCAAAGTACAAGAGTGGAAAGGCAAATGTTGTTGCGGATGCCTTATCTCGAAGGCATACTTTACTTGGAGTCGTTGAGGCGAAAGTCCTTGGGTTCGAATTAATCAAAGAATACTACAAGGAAGATGATGACTTCAAGGTCATTTTGGAGAAATGCGTGAATGGTAGTTATGAATTATTTTCCTTACAAAATGATTTTCTTTTTAAGGGAAATAGGTTATGCATTCCCAAATGACCAATTCGAAGCTTGTTGATTCATGAAGCGCATGGGGGAGGTTTAGCAGGCCATTTCGGAGTTCAAAAGACTATGGAGCTTCTTCAAGCTCACTTTTATTGGCCTAATATGCTATCCACTATTCACCGTGTTGTAGCACGTTGTTCTACTTGTCAAAGGGCAAAGATGGTGTTTCACAAAGGTCTTTACAAGCCATTGCCAATTCCGGAGAGACCTTGGGAAGACATAAGCATGGATTTCATTGTGGCTTTACCTAGAACTCAAAGAGGTAAGGACTCAATCATGGTGGTAGTTGATCGTTTTTCAAAAATGGCTCACTTTGTCCCTTGTCATAAAACCGAAGATGCTGCGAAGGTGGCGAAATTATATTTTGATGGGGTTGTTCGTTTCCATGGAATCCCACGCACCATTGTTTCAGATCGAGATACAAAGTTCCAAAGTCATTTTTGGAAGTCCTTGTGGCGTCTTATGGGAACCAAGTTGCTGTTTTCTACCTCACATCACCCCCAAACCGATGGCCAAACCGAGGTGGTGAATAGAGTACTAGGTTCTTTGCTTAGGACCTTGGTTAGTAAAAGCACCAAAGATTGGGATGTCAAACTCGCTCATGCCGAGTTTGCTTACAATAGAACTCCTAGCACTACTACGAAGTATTCTCCTTTTGAAGTAGTCTATGGTTCTAATCCTTATGTTTCTAATTGATCTCATAGCATTGCCTCGAGACAAGTTCGTGCATGGAGGTGCCAAGGAACAAGCCGAGTTCATGGTGAAAATCCACAAGGAAGTAAGGAAGAACATCGAGAAGGCTAATGAAATCTATAAGAAGCAAGCCAACAAGAGAGTTAAAAACGTGAGAAGTTTTGAAGTTGGTGACTTAGTGTGGATCTACATGAGGAAGGAAAGGTTTCCTAATCAAAGGAAGAACAAGCTCATGCCACGAGCCGAGGGTCCTTTTGAGATAGTGGAAAAGATCAATGACAATGCCTACAAGGTAGATTTGGGAGGAAAGTATGGCGTCTCAAGCACATTCAATGTGGGGGATCTAGCACCGTACTATAATGATGAAGAATTGAGGGCAATTCCCTTTGAAGAAGGGGAGGATGACCAAAGTGGTCAAGGTTCGAATATTCCAGTCCAAGAGTTTGAACGTTAGGGAATTGATTTTGTCCAAGTCTTTCTTCGATCCTACTCCTATGGATTTTGGGGTGCACGGTCCATATAATTACTCAACTTGCTGCACCATATTGAGCGTGACTAATTACCTTGATAATGGGGGAATATAGACGGATTTAAGGAGAGTTTCAAGCTGGTTTAACTTCGTAATAAAGGAGCTTGAATGAAGGCTTAATTGGGAGGTTACAAAGGCGCATTTAAAGGCTGCTTTGGAGGACGAATTTGGACAGCATGTTGGAGTCAATTTGCTGAACGTTTTCTTCCCTTGTTATAAGCTTTCTTAATTAGAGTAATAATTAGTTGTAATGGGGTTTAAGTTGGACGGTTATGAGCCACTTAATCTACCCTTATTTTCAGTTTTGTTATTTCTGATTTGTTGCTTGTTTTAGCTAAGTGTAGTGGCAATTAAATGATGTACTAAAGCTATAAATAGCATGCTAATGATCAATGAAACATATTCCAGAAATTTGCAAGAAACACACGAGTGTATGATCTAAATTTGACTAGTGCTAGTCAGGTTTAATTTTCCAAACTTGAGAGTTATCTCAATTTGAAGAGTTTGTGTTTTAGTGAGAGTTCCTAAGACTTAAACTTGTAGTTGTCGAATAGGTGAGAGTTCCCTAATCACTACTACGCCCAAACAAGTGAGTGAGTGTTCCTCATTGTTATATCCTCAAGGTTAAGGGTGAGAGTTCCCTAATCCTTCTTAGTTACTCCACATTGCTACTTCTAATTCAACTAAACACAACACGCATTCCAGACCGTTTGTAAACAAGTTTCTCACCTTGCTTACACATCAAATGCATTTGACTTTCATTTGATTCAAAAAGCTTTGTTTGAATATGTTTGACTTTCATTTAATTCAGTTAGCTTTGTTTGATTATGTTTAACTTTCTTTTGATTCAATTCGCTTTGTAGAATGCATTTGACTTTCATTTGATTCAATTAGCTTTGTTGAATGTATTTGACTTTCAGTTGATTCAAAAAACTTTGATTGAATGTGTTTGACTTTCATTTGATTCACTTAGCTTTGTAGAATGCATTTGACTTTTATTTGATTCAATTAGCTTTGTTTGAATGTGTTTGACTTTCATTTAATTCAATTTTTGTAGATTGCATTTGACTTTCATTTGATTCAATTAGCTTTGTTGAATGCTTTTGACTTTCATTTGATTGAAAAAGCTTTGTTTGAATGTGTTTCACTTTCATTTGATTCAATTAGCTTTGTAGAATGCATTTGACTTTTATTTTATTCAATTAGCTTTGTTGAAAGCATTTGACTTTCATTTGTTTGAAAAAGCTTTTTTTGAATGTGTTTGACTTTTATTTGATTCAATTAGCTTTGTAGAACGCATTTGACTTTTATTTGATTTCAATTAGCTTCGTTGAATGCATTTGACTTTCATTTGATTCAAAAAGCTTTGTTTGAATATGTTTAACTTTCATTTGATTCAGTTAGCTTTGTTTGATCGTGTTTAACTTTCTTTTGATTCAATTCGCTTTGTAAAATGCATTTGACTTTCATTTGATTCAATTAGCTTTGTTGAATGTATTTGACTTTCACTTGATTAAAAAAACTTTGATTGAATGTGTTTGACTTTCATTTGATTCACTTAGCTTTGTAGAATGCATTTGACTTTTATTTGATTCAATTAGCTTTGTAGAATGCATTTAACTTTCATTTGTATAAAAAAGCTTTTTTTTGAATGTGTTTTGACTTTCATCTGATTCAATTAGCTTCGTAGAATGCATTAGACTTTCGTTTGATTCAATTAGCTTTGTTTGAATGTGTTTGACTTTCATTTGATTCAATTTTGAAGATTTCATTTGACTTTCATTTGATTCAATTAGCTTTTTTGAATGCATTTGACTTTCATTTGATTTTAAAAGCTTTGTTTGAATGTGTTTGACTTTCATTTGATTCAATTAGCTTTTTTTGATCGTGTTAAATTTTCTTTTGATTCAATTAGCTTTGAATAATGCATTTGAATTTCATTTGATTCAATTAGCTTTGTTGAATGAATTTGACTTTCATTTGATTCAAAAAGCTTTGATTGAATATGTTTCACATTCGTTTGATTCAATTACCTTTGTAGAATGCATTTGAGTTTTAATTTGATTCAATTAGCTTTGTTAAAAGCATTTGACTTTCATTTGATTCAAAAGCTTTCTTTGAATGTGTTTGACTCTCATTTGTTCAAATAGCTTTTTAGAATGCATTTAACTTTCATTTTGATTCAAAAAGCTTGGTTTGAATGTGTTTTGACTTTCATTTGATTCAATTAGCTTTGAAGAATGCATTTGACTTTCATTTAATTCAATTAGCTTTGTTGAATGTATTTGACTTTCATATCATTCGAAAAACTTTGGTTGAATGTGTTTGAATTCATTTGATTCAATTAGCCTTGTAGATTGCATTTTACTTTCATTTGATTCAATTAGCTTTGTTGAAAGCATTTGACTTTTTTATTTTATTCAAAAAAGCTATGTTTGAATGTGTTTGACTTTCATTTTATTCAACAATTTTTGTAGATTGCATTTGACTTTCATTTGATTCAATTAGCTTATTTGAATGCATTTGACTTTCATTTGATTCAAAAAGCTATGTTTAAATGTGTTTGACTTTCATTTGATTCAATTAGCCTTTTAGAATGCATTTGAATTTTATTTGATTCAATTAGCTTTGTTGAATGCATTAGACTTTCATTTGATTAAAAAAACTTTGTTTGAATGTGTTAGAGTTTCATTTGATTCAATTAGCTTTGTAGAATGCATTTGACTTTCATTTGATTCAATTAGCTTTGTTGCATGCATTTGACTTTTATTTGTTTCAAAAAACTTTGTTTGAATGTGTTTGATGTTCATTTGATTCAATTAGCTTTGTAGAATGCATTAGACTTTCATTTGATTCAATTAGCTTTGTTTGAATGTGTTTGACTTTCATTTGATTCAATTAGCTTTGTAGAATGCATTTGACTTTCATTTGATTCAATTAGTTTTGTTGCATGCATTTGACTTTCATTTGTTTAAAAAAACTTTGTT